TGAGGAAGCAAAACCTTTGGAAGAGATTTCAGCTGACCTCGAAATCATTGAGGCTCCAGAAGAAACTTTGGAGGAAGCTTCAGAGGAACTTTCAGTGTCTGTAGAAACAAAGGAGGAAGTTTCTGAAGAACTTGTCATTGAAGAAAAGCCTGTTGACACCACTGAGGATGTTTCAGCAGATCTTGTCATCTCTGAGGCTCCTGAGGAAACAAAACCTTTGGAAGAGATTTCCACTGGACTCGACGTCATTGAGGCTCCAGAAGAAACTTTGGAGGAAGCTTCAAAGGAACTTTCAGTGTCTGTAGAAACAAAGGAGGAAGTTTCTGAAGAACTTGTCATTGAAGAAAAGCCTGTTGACACCACTGAGGATGTTTCAGCAGATCTTGTCATCTCTGAGGCTCCTGAGAAACTTAAATCTACAGAGGAAATTAAACAGGAAATAAATATTCCAGAAACTGTCATTTCTGAGGAAGTAGTAATATCGCAAGATATGGTATCAGGGTTTGGGTTATCTGCCCCTGAGCCACAGGTAGATGGAGACACCAAGATTGGAGCAAGCCAACGTATTATGCCTGTTGAATCAGGTACAAGTGTTACCGTGGTTACTATTGGTCTGTCGCTAAGCTCTATATTAGAATGGCACCATTTTTTTCACTTGCTTACGGACATAACTATTTGTCTTGTTCGCCTATGGCCAGCTGCAGTTTGGAAAAAAAAGTCTTCTTTACATTCTTTTATCCAGGAAAAGCTTTTGATTTGTGAAATGATGAGTCAGATTCATAATTCAAAAATATTATCAATATCATTGATTTTAGAGAAATTTCCGTATTTCATTCCAAGGAATACAGGTTTCTGATTTCACAAATCAAATATGCTTAGGATTGACCTTAGAATCAGTAAAATCCAACACAATTGATTCAGAAAAATTTGAAAAATGCTAATGCATCACACTCATTAAAGACAAATCAATTGGATTCTGGCCATATATCGTTTTGTTTCCTGTAACCCGTCTATTCCTAGTGGTTAGGCACAGACTGTAGAGGTGAGTCTTACTTCAGGACTGGAGGGTGACAGCTGATAGTTGGTGTTTGGATCTTCCTGATTCTAATGGTCTGACATTGTTGTCATCACAAGTCACCTGTGTTGAAATTGACACCGGATGTTAATGTCAAACCCTGACAACGAACAATATTTCCTGAAATCAGTTATGTATTTTGAGGTGTGATATTATGTATAACCTGGAGTGATAATTCTTCAAAAGATTGAAACCAAAACTAAATTATCATTTAGTCAATATAACTAATCACTTCTTGTAAAATTACAGACAGAACAAGATGTTTTCATGAAACACTATGCCCTAGTTTGCAACAAATTGGGACATTAAAACTATACTCTGCAAGGCATATGCTAATTGCATACACTTTGTGAAATACTTATGTCTTCATTGTGGTAAGGATTTGACAGTTTTTTGTTCAATAGCTATAGCTAGTGTTAAAATTTTTCCAATGTAGGTCAAAGGTCATAGTCTAGGTCACAGTAAAGGTCACTGGTCAAAAATTTTGGTACCTCCGGAATTGTCTTGTCAGAAAGAACACATGTGCCAAATATGAAAACCCAACCTCTTGTGTTGCAAGAGTTATGGGCAAGGTTAAAGTTGACAACAGACAAGCAAACAGATAGCACAAAAACACTATGCCCCAAATCTTTTAATCTGGAGGCATAGAAACTGGCAAATGTTGAATAATAATGACTTATACCCATAGTGCTTCAGACATCGCCTTGGGCTTTACGTAAACTTTTGACATTTTAAACTTCCTCTCAAGTTCCACTAGTGGGACTGAGCTCAAACTGGTATGGAATGATCCCGAGATGGTCCTGACTAAGTGTTGCGGTCTTTCTGGTATATCTGAGATTCAAGATGGCCTCCAAGGGCACCATTTTGAAAAACATATTTTAAACTTCTTCTCCAGTTCTACTCTTGTCATTGAGCTAAAATTGGTGGAAAAGGTAGCAAACAAAGTGTTATTTTTCGATCTTGTCAAAACTTCAATACAGCAGCCAGGGAGGTTGTTTTGTAACATGATTGTGTAATCATGGTTGTCCTGTTGTTAAAATGGATTTTTACTGTATTACTGCCCATACTGGATGGATATAACAGTTGTAAATATGCAATTCATTCACAGAATATTTAGAATATAACAGCACACTCTTCTTAACACTGAAAATTCTTGAAAGCCAAAAGTAATGATGGTCACTCCAGATTAAAAATCACTCATTATCAATATTAAGTATTCGTATAAGTGAGGTGTACATATATATTTGACTTTCTTTCCTTTTCGTTGAAATTGTTTACAAAATCATCTGAGGCCAGAGAAATATTGAATAAAAAATCTGGTATTTCCAAACAAAAGAGGAATTAAAATTCAAAGTTCATAAGAATTTTCTTTAAATAATCTGTGTTTTATAATGATGTCTAGGTCACTGTATACGTGGTTTCTTTTAAGTCAGATAGCTGAGTTCAGGAAATCTCAATGTTCTTTAACATAACTCTTATTTCTGGAAGAAACAAACAGAATAAAAAGCAGACAATCGATGGTTAAATTTTAATCTCAAATCAGATTATAGAAAAGTATCTGACTTTGGATTAAAATTTAAGTTAATTTCTCCAGAGATCAGGGTAATATAATGAATTGTTACTTTGCACCAGTCAGTCCACAGCATTATGTTGAGCTAGCCCAATGAAATTACTCCGTTTCGAGCCGCGGAGAATGGTCCATTGGTTGATACAATGAATGCTGATATGGTACATTGTTTCGGGACTGTTACTAACTTGTCTGGAATGGCTCGTTTTGTTGACGATATGTAGACCAGGACATTAACATGATAATTGTCTCTTTTGATATTACATGTAATAGATTTTACTGATAGAAACACTTGTTGCTGCATTTTAGATATTTTTTTTAAAGATAATATAAAATACGCCATTTGCAAAGAGATTCTCATTTGAAAAGCATCTTTGGATGATAAAAAATTAATACAACATTTTTAGAGTCATACAGAATTTTAATTGGAAAGTTCTTGCTCCCAGTCATTTCTTTATCTAAGTAATGGACATGTTTTAATTCTCTCAGGTTAAAACCTTAGTGGCTGACAGCCAATAAGGTAATCATTTTGCAGTTCTGGTCCTTTTTTTGGGAGAATCGCTGAAATATAAAATTTACATTGGTTGATACTTGTTTAATGTTTGTGTTTAAACGTGGTCAACCTGTGAGTTTTATATTTCAGATAAATAAGAGTGGAATTTTATTTTTTTTTATATTATTATAATAAATAAATATTAATCAATACAGAGCATGCTATGTGAACCTTTTCTGTGGCATGAAGATAGTTTTTAGAGCATTTTACTGAATAATAAAAATTATTAATCAGCATATTGTGTTTTTCTCACAGCCAAATATAGAATTGATTTTGGACATGAATCAAATCATGTTGTTGATTTAGTTTAATTTGTATAAACTGGTATCTATGTGATACTTAATTCTGAATCTCCATAGTTATAGGTTGAATTTCAATTTCTGGAATTTATTTGAATTTTTTTTTTTAATTTAAATTTTGAAAATGATTAAATTTTGAAAAACAAATACCTAACTGCTAACTGAGTCATTTCATTATTTTTTTTTTTAATTTAAATTTTGAAAACAATTACATTTTGAGAAAACAAATACCTAACTGCTAAGTGAGTCATATGTCTTTTTCTGTTGAAGATAGCTGACACAATTATATTAACCCTTCTCCCCTACAGACCACAGTAAACCTAGCTACATCAAAGGATTGGTGGTTCTACTGTGATCATTAAGGGGTAGAAGCACGTTTTGAACAGATGGTTTTCTAGTTGGTCCAGATGCATGCTTTAGGAATATGGTTTTTGAGATTAATTTACTTTATTGTTATTATTTTATTTGTTTTTTTAATTAGGTCTATATATTTATGCTGAAATTATTTAATAAATTTTGGCATGGCTAAACTTCAAAATTGAACTATTATCAGAAAAATGTCCAAGGAAAATGAAGGGTTATTTTTTTTTCTAAATCATTGCACATTATTCAACTTGTTTTTTTTTCTTTAGATTTATTTTTTACCTCTTACACCATGCTTTTGAATTTATTAATTATTTCAATAGATTAATCTTATGTATAGATATATATATTACAAGCTAGAGTTTAATTAATTTTGATGCTGTCATCCCCCATCCTGTTCAATAGGAATAGTCCAGATAAAGGTTTGGACTGTTTCATTGCACATATATAGGGGAAGACATGTCAAATAAATTGGTTTATGTTTTTTATCATTATTTAACATTATTTCGCTGTAACAGAGTTTTACTGTAGAAATATTCATTCTGTAACTGTTTTTATTATCTTAGTTGCTGTTTACTATTGCTGTATATATTTACCTTTAGTTGTTTATATATATCATGCTTATATAAACTAAATTGTAGTGTAATAATGAAAGATAACAATTCTAGGCTGAGCAGTTGTGTTTACAGTTTTAATTGTTGTTAAGGAATCATTATAGATCCATTTAGAAGGTGTGATGGTAATAGAGGTTTTTTCTAGTTAGATTACTATATTGATATTGTTTTATAATTTCTCTGTTGACGTTGAAGATTTATTAACTTACCATACCCTACAATTATAAAATGTACTGGTCCAAATGGTTGGATGAGTCAAAGTTGACAAAGAGAAGGGGGGTTCTGATACAAGTAAATAAATCTTCAAGGAAACAGTAAAACATATATTTCATATGATAGAAAATATGTTCCTTGATGAAACATTAACATGTATGAATGAAATAATCTGCATGTCAAAGATGCTGTGCATGAACTATTAAAAACTATTAATATTTAAAAAGATCATTGACTATCACAATTTTTATCTACTTTGTTTAAAAGATTTATTTTCCAATGCAAACCAATGATTTTAATTTTCTTATTATTTTAGAAACCAAAGAAGAAATTGAAGCAGAACTTACCATTGAACAGGTTTTGTCAGAGAAGGAAAAACTTGTGACTGCAGGTAAGGGCAATAACTCTCTATAAACTTGAATTCACATTGATATTGTGGTATCCATTGATGGCCGCTTAATGATTTATTTATGTCTGTTTGTCATTTTAGAAGAAGAAAAAGATGCAGTATCTGAAGAAGAGAGGTCTCCTGCACCTGATGAGGTTGAGAAACCCAAATCCCCAGAACTTGTTAGTAAGTATACAAAAAGGTATCCTACTGGCTTCACAGGATAAGGTCTTAAGACAGATAGCATTTACAGTGACACTGGAGATCTTTGTTTTGGTAAAAAAGGTTGTTGCTTCCATCTTTAATCATAAACTTAAATTCCTTCATCTGTAATCATAACTTCATTTTGTTTGATGTTTATCAAGTAACCTGTACATTTGTATCAATCATCTGTATGAGCCAATTTGGATTTTTTTGTGTTATTAAGCAATTTATATCAAAATTAATATAAAACATTTGATTTCATCCATTCATGACTTCAATAAATATCTCATACTTTAAGAAGGTCATATATGATTTAGAATCCCTTGTCCATGTACAGTACTTTCCTGAAAATATTTGTCATTATGTACAATATTTCACCTGAAGAATTTAGAATTCCTGGAACATGTAATATTCTGAAAATATTTGACATAATGTACATTTCAACTGCAGAAATTAGAATCCCTCATCCATTTACTTTATTGAAAAATATTTGACATGAAGTACAACATTTCATGTGCAGATTTTAGAATCTCTGGACCATGTAATATTCTGAAAATATTTGACCTAATGAACAACATTTCATCTGCAGCTGCTGAAATAGTTGATGAACGTACTGCCCCAGAAATTGTCAAGCAACTTGTTGACGTCATGTCCAAGGATGGCGGCAGTGCATGCTTCGAGTGCGTCGTTGAAGGCCTACCTCGCCCAGAGGTCAAATGGTACAAAGATGAAGAAGAACTGACAACTTGTGAAGAATTCACTATTTCTTACGAAGAAAACACCACCACTTTAATGATTCCTGATGTTTATGTGGAGGACGGTGGAAAATATACTGTTGTGGCCAAGAATGAACTTGGAACTGCCATGACTACAGCAGAGCTCATTGTGGAAGGTTTGTGTTGTTTCAGGTGTAAAAGTAATTTATGTAGGTCACATGATAAGTGAAATTTTCTTGAGTGCACATGATAGGCGGTTGGTTGGTTGGCTGGCTTATAACAGGGTTTTCATCTCCGTGATTCTCTCTATTGCCAGGCATTGTGTTCTGGTGATGTTCATCCCTCTCATACAATGGAACTCACTGTACCGTTGTTTATGCATCAAATAGTTCTGGTTCTTAAGATGCCTTAACCTAATAATGGAGTAGATGTTTAATTTTGTTGCGGGATAGGTGAAAGGTTCAACAATTTTTATGTCTGTGTCAGTGTGTTAAAATTCTAATCCTCCTTTCTTATAAATATGTAACGGAGGATAGCCAATGTGTGAGGTTTCAATAGGACGACATTTAAATGTATTAATTATCTAGTATTGACCAGGAAATGTAATGTCTGACCTCGTATGTAGAGTTGACCTTGTATGTAGAGTTGACCTTGTATGTAGAGTTGACCTTGTATGTAGTGTTGACCTTGTACAAAATATTGACCATGACCTTATATATATATTATTTTAGCTCCAGCTGAAGAGATTATCACAGGCATTCCTCCCTACTTTGACAAGAAACCCAAGTTCCAGAACGTGGAATCTGGGTCAGATGTCCACTTTGATGCTGTGGTCAGAGCTTTACCACAACCAGAGGTAAGTTGTCAAACAGTCAGATTTTAGAAATAGTTCATTTCCATTCTGTATTTAAACAGTTAGTTGTTTAAAATGGTTAGAAACAGTTCTTAATGCATTCTTTGTCATATATAACTTATGTGGAAAATCATTCAAAGAGGAAAATTTTAAGTAGTATTTCATATAGAATTGGAGATAATTTCATTTAGAAGATACTAGAGATTACATATTGGGTGAACAGAGAAATCGTGTGTTTGTGTTAACACAGAAGTTTTCTTATAGATTATGTGGACAAGAGAGGGAGTTGCCATTAGCACGTCAGACAAATATACTGTGGAGACAAAACCTAATACGGAGGAAAATACCTACTGCACCAGTCTGACTCTCAACCAGGTCACATTAGCTGATGCTGGAACATACAAAATCTCAGCTTCAAACGAAGAAGGAGATGCTAACGTTTCTGTCTCGCTACTTGTCAGAGGTATGATGTGGAAAGGGATTGGTCAGTATTCTTACCTCCTTGTCAGGAGAGTTACTTAATCAAAGGATATATTAACCTCAGCTTTAGGGGAGTGGGTCACAGAAGTAGACCATTTTAGACTCTTCATAGAAGCTTTAACTGCAACTTTGAATAGAACAAACAATATATGTTGATAGAGCATTTTTCACATCGTAGACTCATCTCGATCAAGGCAGTAAAAATTTGTATTTTATTTACTTAGATGAAGGACCCAAGCAGACAGATTTCCGTGATAGTCTCAAAAAAGATGTGTAAGTACTGCATTTTGTTTGTGTGTAACAGTTAGAGAGTAAAGGTCATCAAAACGTTTTGGTTAGAGAATATGATGACGAAGTTTCGGTAAGAGGGAATGATGGCACAAATAGCTATTTTATTTCCCATCATGCAACAGAGAAGAAAAGCTGTTTGAGTCATTGGCTCTCTAATCTTATTATAAAGCATGTAATTTTTTTATTTCATTTTATTTTATTTCACTTTTTAAAGATGTGTGCAAATTAGCAAAGCTTTATTAACATTGCTAGAAAGTACACATCGTGCAAAAACTGAATGATTTTCTTTTTTTTTTTCATTCTTTTTATAGACTTGAATTGATATTTGTTTAATTTCCGTTTTAGATTGCCTTACTTAGATTAGACTGTGTGAATTACTAATGAGAATTTTACTTCTAACATCAGACCTTGATAAGTGTTTGTAATTTATTTTGATTTAATTTTTTTAGTTGATTTTATTTGATTGTGGATAAGAAATTGTCCATTGAACTAACTTGATGATTTATCTGGTGAAATCACTTATCTTTCACAGTGAATTTAATCGGGTTCCACTATGAAATCAAATTTTTGCAAATCTTTCATCACAAATTTGTTTTGAAGCATGAAATAAAATGTTGGTAAATTGTGTCTTTCACAGAATATTTTTATCCTTTTCCGGAATTTAAAGTTATAAGTGGTTTCACTTCTTAATATTACTTTTTGTTTCTGATAATACACTAAAAACAAATTGGAATGCAGTCATATGACTAAAATCAAACAAACTTAAAGAGGCCATCCCAGAGTAGTCAGGTATAATGAAATTCTATTGGTCAATATTACAACTACTATCCACTCACAGGCGAACCAAGGTCGGCTTCAAAATCATCAAAAAACAAAAACAACAAGTGGATTTCAGAGCTCATCTTAAGGAAGTGTGAGTTATTACACCACGGAATGCTTTGGTGTCACCTATGTTATGTAACGCTTGCTTTGATTGGATACTCCCAGGAAATCAAACTGCCTATCGTGCTTTTTGATTGGATGTCCATGGAAATTTAAACCAGCTACATGTCCTGTTATGATTTTTCCCCAGAATGGCTAAATATGTCAACCAACACAATAGATTTCTCATTTTAAATCTTTGAAAACATGATTGTCTTTTGCCTGTTAATGTTGTTTGTGATTGGCTTAAATGTTGGTTAACGACAATGAAATTATTGTTTTGACTGAAGACCCCTGGATATTCCAACTTTCCCTGTATATGTGTATATATAGTTGTTTTGTGGCTAAGATTGACTAAGATTTCTGATTAGCTAAAATGTTCTCAGATCTTAAGGTACATCAATAACTTTCCCTTTTTAATTCTTGCTATATTTATGTCTAATAAACAAAAATATCAACTGTTATTCGGACCATTTACTAATCAAGTATTTGTATGTACGTCACCAAATTATCCATCCAAAATCCTTTTGTTATATTTTTCTTACTAACTTTAACAAAGAATATACACCAATCAGCATGCGTCATTTTTACACCTTACATACTATGTTGTATCCATTGGATGCCCAAAAAATTGACCAATGAAATTCATTCTTTGTCACTTAATTTGATGTGTTGTTTTATTTTGAGTGATGTATGCAAATCAATGAAAGACTTGAAAAAAGGAAGTTCCACCATTATTCGTCACATTATTGTGTACAAGAATGGATGCATGTTTTTGCATATTTTGAAAAAAGTTTAATGTGCATTTTTGATCTGTTGCATCTGTTTTTGCATGTTTTGTTCATAAAAAGCATGTGCTTTCATTACACAGAAAAACAAGGGTTGGAATTCAACATGGTCCGAAACAGAAAGACTTTAGGGACAATCTCAAAACTGAAGTGTGAGTAAAAAGTTCAGGGGAAATTTCAAAAACAATTTTATCAGTTGTACAGCTTTTTGATAAATTAATTATTTTCTTTATAGAAATAATGTCGACCACAAATCTCCTTTTTAAAATTCATATCAAATGAAAGTTAAAGTGAATACTTTATGTAAAAGGAAAAAGGAAAATGCAATAAAGGAAATCTTATTTAGAAGCAAACACCCAAGTTATGTGTCGGTATTTATCAAAAATATTTAAGATGGTCCACACTTAGTATAACTACAAGGTGCTGACCCCTTTATAATGGTTCAGTTCACTGACTGTGATCAAATTTGTGAACAGGAAAACCAAGGTCGGTGTATCACATGCTGCTGAGCAAATCGACTTTCGAGACAAACTTAAAACCCAGGTGTAAGTACCTGAAGCACTAGTTATTAACTCCTGCAACACGGATAAGATCTATCAGAGATTTAAATATGTTCTTTTTACTTGAATCAATTGTTGGTTGTTTAAACACAAAAATATATCCGAAAATCTTGATGCATTTGTCCTTGGTTAAGTAATTAGTAAACAAACAATTTAAGTTATGTATACTTGCATGTAATGTGTGTTTTGTGTAATTTGTGTTTTCTGTTTTACTTTTGTGTGTGACATCCTTTTCATTTAACATGATTTTATGGGTTTACCTATTAATATTTTGTGTTGTTACCTTGGAAAACAGTCGGACAAAGCAAGGGGTATCATTTGGAGCAGAACAATTAGACTTTAGGGATAATCTCAAAACCAAAGTGTAAGTATGGCTAGGAATAGTCCCAAAATAGAAGTGGAAACTTAGCTTGACATAATTTCTAAATAAAAGTGAAAGTATAGCGAGGGATTGTATCAAAATTTTAGTGGAAGTATTGCGAGGGATAGTCTCAAAACCTAAGTGGAAGTATTGAAAGGGATAATCTCAAAATCTTAGTGGAAGTATTGCAAGGGATAGTTTCAAAACAAAAATGGAAGCATTGTGAGGGATAGTCTCAAAACAAAAATGGAAGTATTGTGAGGGATGGTCTCAAAACCTAAGTGGAAGTATTGCAAAGGATAGTTTCAAAACAAAAATGGAGGCATTGTTAGGGATTGTCTCAAAACAAAAATGGAAGCATTATTAGGGATAGTGTGAGATTTAAGATTAAAGCATATATAGCTAGACAGAGTCTCAAATCTCAAAGTGTATGTACATCTAGGTAAAGCATAAAATCCAATTTTGTTATAACAAATATGTCTGAATTAAGTATACAGAAATAACGTAAATAAACAGAAAACATACTTCAGAAAGATATCCCTTTGATAAATCATGTTCATTTTAATAATAACTTAATTGTGATTCAGGAAATTAAATAAAGCTTGAAATATCAGTAAATGTGACAGAATTATTGCATTCTGTGAATGTTGTCATGTGATGTTTATCATTAGTAATTTGCATGAACTTTAACACAATAGGAAAACCAAGGTTGACACATCCTTTCAAGCAGAACAGGTTGATTATAGGGATGCCCTACAACGGCAAGTGTAAGTAGTTAGTCTATAGCAGATCTCAAAAGCAAAACATATATAGAAAATTGTCATATGAAGGGATTTGTTGGAAAATCTTAAGTAATACTTTATATTCTAAATTAAAAACCACAAAAACAAAAATGAAACCATTCACCATATAATGTTTGTATCAAATATTGTCAGCAGACTTTCTCAAAAGGACTGAATGAGTGCAAATCCACTAATTGAATTTGGCATAGAGTGCATTGAACAATATCACACAGAATTTCAAGAGTGTATGAGTGGGTTTATTACCAGACATGGGCTTATTATAGGATAAATATATATTCAATATATTCATTTGCATTGCATGACTATGTTTTTACCTGCATGGACTTTGATGATGTAGGAAAACCAAAGTTGGCACGTCCTATGCAACAGAGCAGGTTGATTACAGAGACGCTCTCCAAAACCCAGTGTAAGTAGTGATGTTAAAAAATTTGTCAAAACCCCCGTGTAATTAGTGATGATAAACTTTGTCAAAACCCAGTGTAATTAGTGATGATAAACTTTGTCAAAACCCAGTGTAAGTAGTGATGATAAACTTTGTCCAAACCCCAGTGTAAGTAGTGATGATAAACTTTGTCCAAACTCCCGTGTAAGTAGTGATGATAAACTTTGTCAAAACCCCCGTGTAAGCAGTGATGATAAACTTTGTCCAAACCCCCGTGTAATTAGTGATGATAAACTTTCTGAAATAGATCAACAGTATTTTCAGAAAAAACTAATGAAGTACAAAAATACTGCTTTATTCTAACTAAAACTCTTTGAAATGAATGACAAATGACTTGCACTTGTATAATTTGAACATGTAGGGAAACAAAGGTTGGAACATCATTTGCAACAGAACAAGTTGATTATAGAGATGCACTTCAGTACCAGGTGTAAGTAATTAAAACTATATTATAGAAAAAATTGTGATTTTTACAAATTACCACAAAAATTTGGAATACAAATTTGACATGTCAAATGTATATAAAAGAAAATGTAGATTTCTAAATTAATAATTACCAGGATATGCATGTATATACAAGTGAGTTTGTATTACATTCCAGTATCAAGAGTACAAAAATGAAAAACATATTTCAGAGTAGTCTTTGGTTAACCTTGTGCTCTGTGCCAGAGATAACATTTTATGTCATGTTTGAATGTTATTTGCATCTTGTATGAATTATTTGCATGATTTTGATGACACAGTGAGACCAAGGTTGGCACAGTCTATACTTCAGAGCAGGTGGACTATAGGGATGCCCTCCAAAGAGAAGTGTGAGTAACAATCAGGGGAGGCGACTCATTTTATCCAAGAATTTTACTTTGTAAGGAATTAATCCTTCTATGACAACCATAGGAGAGGTGTTATGCAGTGGAAGAGAACATAGAGGGGAGATACTATGAAAAAACCAGGAAGGGATAGGAGCAGGGCTTGATTTGATAGCATGGTAGATAATTTAAGGACACTAAAGGGGAGATAACTGTAGGGAATGAATAAAAAAGGACAGGAACAGAGTAGGGGAGAATAACTGGGTAGACAATTCTAGAACATTTACCTGGAAATAACTTTAGGAGATGACCAAGGAGGGATATGATCAAAGTGATGGGATAACAGAGTAGAAAATTTTTAGATACTGAAACGGAGATGACTTGGGAAAGAACGGGTAATAACACATTATCAAAGTAGATATTTATAGAACTAAGGGGAGATCACTGTGGGGATAGTCCAAGGAAGAATGGGATCTAGGTAGGACAGGATAATGACTCATTATCAAAGTAGATATTTCTAGAACTAAGGGGAAATCACTGTGGGGAAAGTCCAAGGAAGAATGGGACCTAGGTAGGACAGGATAATGACTCATTATCAAAGTAGATATTTCTAGAAATAAGGGGAGATCACTGTGGGAAAGTCCAAGGAAGAATGGGATCTAGGTAGGACAGGATAATGACTCATTATCAAAGTAGATATTTATAGAACTAAAGGGGAGATCACTACTATACAAGGGATAATCATGGAGAATGCAATGTTATTGATAAATAGAGATGACTGTAAAAGGATTACACCATACTGGTGGATAACAGGAGAGGACCAATCAGGGGGGATAACCCAAGGGAGGAGAAAATAGGGAAATTCAAAGGATGTTTGTATTGGAAAAGAAATCTAGCACCGAAAAATTCCTGCAGCAATTTACTTTACCACAAAAATTAACCATACTGTTGTCAATATTTTGATTACTAAAACTGTTACTTGCATGTGATTAAAGTATGATATGCATGCTGTTTGTATTATACAGAAGAACAAAAGTTGGAGTTACTTATGAGTCTGAGCAGGTTGATTACCGTGACACCCTTCAGAAGAAGGTGTAAGTATGGAGCCGAAATGTAGAGATAAATAATGTATAGAATATATAATAAAGACAGTAATTCAGAATTAAATTGCGATACACATATCAACATTTACATTCAAAAAGATACATAATTTAGAACAATTAATCGCTTAAATGATAAGGTTTTCTTAAAGTAGAGTAACATAATCCCTGTATCTCGGACATAAACACCTAGAAATGGGAAGTTTTTGAAAAATTACATCACGCTTATATAATGTTGTATTCAAATGAAGGATTTATTCATGATTTTTATCCTACATAGTAACATTTAAATCTGAAATTAAAAACAATTACACATTTATTGTAAAATAACTGAGTTCACTGTTTAAACTTAAGATTAAGTGATTCTTTAATTAGGACCAGTGAAATGTTATCACTTTGCATGTTGCATGATTTGCCTGTGTTTGTATTAGGACAACCAAGGTGGGAACCCAAAGTTACCAAGCTGAGCAAATTGACTTCCGTAATGTTTTACAAAAGCCGTGAGTGAAATTTATTTCAGATTCTCATCAACCAATATTTTTTTTAACAGGAAAGATGAACATTGAGGATGTTTTATTGATAACTGATTTAATGAAAAAATATTTTTATTGAAATTGATACAAATATTTTGTTTCCAAAATTTTTTTTTCATTTGAACACAATAACTTTCTTAATGATTAATGAATAATATTTTTTTTTGCCTGAAAATATTTTGTCATATCGAAAACCTGTTTTTTCTTTGTGCATATCATGTCTTCATGTTAAAAAAAACACAGGTTTTGGTGTTTGAAGAACTAGTATACAGAAAGATGTCTTTTCATTTTGTCATATGTTCCTGTTTTCTTTCTTTTCCAGGACTTTGGAACAAAAGGAAGTCAAAAAAGTAGAACAAGTGGACTTACGTGATGTTCTACATGAGGTAGGTCTGGTAGATTGTTTTTTGCCAATCGGTGATGGTTATTTGTGTGTTCAATACGTTAAATGTGATACGGGTGGATGATTTGTCCGTTCTTCAGTTAAATTTTTTATCGAGGTGTTTAAAAAGTTGAAAGAATGAAAATTATTGTAGAAAGAGTTCTGTTTCCTCAAAAACAATTTATCCATTAAAGTAATTATCTTTTTGTTTTTTTTGATAAAGAAACTCTTTTGTGAAAAAGGAAGCATATGACAGATAGGTAACATTTATCCTTAATTGTATTTGTGAATACTTTTTATTTAGGTTGAACTGATCGCACCAACATTTGAAACCAATATTGAGAGTGTGGTCGCTAAAGAAGGCGAACCGGCCAAATTTTTCGTCAAAGTCACAGGAAAACCGACCCCCACTATTTCGTGGCACCATGACGACCAAGTACTCACCACAGACGAGATCTACAAAGTCACAGAGGGTGAGGAAGGGGAGAGCACTCTGGCATTGTCAGAGGTCTTCCCAGAGGACACTGGCAAGTACACAGTTAAGGCTGTAAACGAAGCAGGTGAAGCTGTTGCCACAGCAACACTCACAGTAACAGGTGAGTTTGAAATGCTTAATCTTTCCATATTTAACAAACCCTTGCTCTAATATTGTCATAAAATTTATGGATTATCTTTTCATACCTGCCAATTTTCTCGATTCGGGCGGGAAATTCCTTATTTTCACTCCCGAATAACACCTACTGATTGTATGGATCAAGATTGGGGATAATCTCCCCTGATTTCTGAGATCCATTCTATTATCTACAAATTCTAACTTGATCCTGACTTGCCAATAAGAAGTGTTCTTCTCATTGTTATATTATAGTAAAGTCTGCACATTAATTTACCTACACTTATATAAAATTATTGATGAAATCTACATTAATTTCTGCTTTGTGATGAATATGATGGGCAAGGTATCATGGCAAGTTAGAAATGTTGTTCATGCATTTTTCTCCCCATGCGAATTTTGAAAAGTTGACAGATTCGTTTTTTTCAGGGAAAGTCTCAAAACATTTGTTGTTTGTGTATTAGGAAGAAATGACCAAATATTATTTTGTCAATTTTCAGAGGAAATCATTCAAGAGGACACTTTATCAACTACAGAGGTTATCCAGCAGGAAGTTCAGGAAACCGTTGAATCGGAACAAGTAGTTTCTGTCCAGGAGACTATCGAGACCTCCGAAGTCATCAAGACAGAAGTGTACGTAGTATTACAAGCTTATTATATAGCAGTTCTATGGATCCCAGTTATCAAGTGCTTGTCAGTTTGTATTTTACAGAAGATTCTTGTCCTGTTCTATAATTTTTGTATAACTACACATATTATTGTCGGGTTCTATAATTCTTGTATAACTACACACAAATGGTTGTCTTGTTCCATAACTCTTGTATACCATTTACACAGAGCACACAACTTTGGTAATTATTCACCACATGGATTGCTAGACTTCAGAAATGTTTTGCGACCATTTACAATGAGGTCAAGGTGAGAAGCTTGGGCTCTGTAACCATGGAAACAAAAAGCCTGTATTACAGTGTTCAGTTTGTGTTGCTGAGGATAAAAATTGTGACTTTTTTCTTTTTTACTCTGAAAAAAAAATTACAAAAATGTTGATTGTTTGATTGTTAAATTAACACTCAAAATTTTGCTAGAAAAAGGAAAAAAGAAGGAATTTCATACCTTTGGTCTATAATGTTTTTTAAAATTAA